CTCTGTCTCAAAAACAAAAAACAACAACAAAAAACCACTATATCTTAATGTATTTTTATTTACTTGACTTCCCCTTTGACTATAAGCTCCTTGAGGGGCTGTGTCATGTGCATGTTGTATCCCCAGTGGCTGACACACAGGTGACTAGACCTCTCAATCTGGCCAAGACAGTTCCACCTTAATGCCTGTTGTTTCAGCTTGCCATCGGCTCAGCGCCTTTCTTTCTCAGAAGTCCCAGTTTGAACAAAAAATTATAAGGTTACCCTAAACAATGTAGATTCTCTGACCCTTATTACCCCTTCCCACCCCATTTAGTTGGAGAACAGGACATCAGAGGAGTTACCCTTTGCACAAGTCAGGTTGCAACTAGAGAAGCAGAACCAGTAGGAGACATATATTAAGAGACTTACAGCAAGACACTGGTGTACATAGGGCAGGCTATCAAGGAAGGAACTCATGCTGCAACTCTTGGCTACTAGCTGAAACTGCTGTCTACAAGTAGAATTTCTTCTTTTTTTGTAGTGGAAACCACAGCTCTGCTTCTAAAGCCTTTCAACTGATTGAATCAGGCCCACCCAGATTATCTAGAATAATCTCCCTTACTTAACTGATTACGGATTTTAATCATAGCTTCAAAATACTTTCACAGCAACACCTAGATTCATGAATGTAGAAAATGTATCCCTTTAAAAAAAAAAGAAAAAAAAAGACCATTACACTCCTTTAAGCCTTCAGAACCAGAGCAAGGAAAGAAACATTCCTGGTATCACAAATATTATTGTTCTGACAGTATTTTCCCACAACAAGCTTGTTATTCTTGATTGCCAGGTTCTCAAGTAATAAAACTAGACTTCGAATTCTAGCTAACAAATGTAGAATAAATGACAACTTAAAAAAGAATCATGATTTTGCAACACCTAATGCAACTGCTCTTGGTGTGATAAAGGGGGAGCAGGCATGTGACAGGAGAAGCGGCAAGAGAGAGAAGAGGAGCTTTCATGCTCTTTTAAACAACTGGCTCTAGGAGTGAACTAACAGAGTGAGAACTCACTCATTACCTCCAGGACAACACCAAGGTATTCACTCTGCCCCCATGACCCAAATATCTCCCACTAGGCCCACCTCCAACACGAAGTCACATTTCAACAAGAGATTTGGAGGAAACACACACCCAAATCATATCAACCTCTTCTTCATAACTGTCTCCATTTTCTTGGCCTAGTGAAACTCATCAATCCTTTAAAACCCATATCAAATGCCCCCTCCTCTATAAAGGCATCCATACCTCCCAAACAAAGGTAGTCTTTTCTTCCTTTTTGCTCCCAAGGTTTTCTGACTAGAACTGTAATACGATTATCACACTGGTGTGCAACTATCTGCTTGACTTAAAGTTATCACATATCTATCAATAACACTTCGCAAATTCTTGATAAATCCAAAGGTATCAATCCTCATTTCACCTGATCCATCAGCTGCACCTGACAAAACTGAACTTACTACTCTACTCTAAATTCTACAACTCAAAATTGTCCTTGTCCCTCATTGGCTGCTCAGTCTGTCTCATTTGGTGGTTCTTCCTCATCTTCCTAACTTGTAAATGTTAAAATGTTAAAACCTTCCTAACTTGTAAAATGCCTACAGACTCAGGCTTCCTGCCCCTTCTCTTTTCTGTCTACATTTAATCCTTTAATGACTGTCTCCAGTCTGATGACTTTAAATACTATCTATTCACTGACAACTCCCAAATGTATGTTTCCAGCAATGACCCCTCTGAAGTCCAGAATGAACATACTCAACTGCCCACTCAACATCTCCACTTAGATGACTGACATCTCAAACGTATCATGTCCTTAACTGAACTCCCAATCTTCCTCACAAACCTACCCCTCCCATAGTTTTCTACTTCTCAGTTAATGGCAATTCCATTCTTCTAGTTCTCAAGCCCAAACTTTTACAATAACCTTATTCTCACAATTCACTTTCAATCCATAAGCAATTCTGTTGGCTTTACCTACAAAATACATCCAAAATTAAACTGTTTTTCCACCTTCACTTCTTTCTAGCCAATTAAGATGTTATCATCTCTTCTGAACTACAGCGCTTCCGTGACTAGTCTCCTGGCTTTCACCTACCCCACCTCCCAACAAACTATTCTTAACACAAAGCCAGGGAAGATTCTATTAAAACCTAAGTCAGCCTGGGCACAGTGGCTCATGCCTGTAATCCCAGCATGTTAGGAGGCCAAGACAGGCAGATCACCTGAGGTCGGGAGTTCAAGACCAGCCCAGCCAACATGGTGAAATCCCATCTCTACAAAACTACAAAAAAATTTGCCGGGGATGGTGGTGTACACCTGTAATCCCAGCTACTTGGGAGGCTGAGGCAGGAGAATCGCTGAAACCCAGGAAGCGGAGGTTGCAGTGAGCTGAGATTGTGCCACTGCACTCCAGCCTGGGCAACAAAGTGAGACTCCATTTAAAAATAAAATGAGTAAAACCTAAGTCAGATCATATCACTCCACTGCTCTTATCTTTCCATTGGTTATTTACTCACTGGGCTATTCCTCAAGGCAAGATTCATGTCGCTGCACATTTTGATCTCCACATCACAAATATAATGTGTTATCATGCATTAGGTACTTAGCAACTATTTGTTAACTGACTAAAATCAATCACAGTAAACTGAGACCAAATTTTGGAAACTCTTGATATCAGATTACAGTTTGAGTTTACAAATACTATAAAGTCACCACATGAATCCAAACAAATATATGATAATGTACATTCTGGAGCTCTTCCCATCTCTACACCAAACAATTATACACAGTTATGAACTAAGCCAGAGAACAAATTCAACATAATTGTTTTTTGGAACTTGAGAGCCATCTGCTGTTGTTGCCCCAAATTCTATGACTGCAATGAATTACTATAATTACATTTTTTGCACTGCATTATCTTAGGAGAAAATAATAATGAAATTTACACACAAGTTCTCAATAAACGTTGCTGTCTTGGGCAAACAGTGAGTCTGTGTTAGTGTTGTCTGCAACTCTCCTTCAGTCTCACAGTACAATTCCTGAGTAAATATATACTTCTTCCTTTTCTAAAAAAGATATTAACATCTAAAGATAAATTTATCCCAAGGTCTAATAATACGAGAGTATATAAATTATGAGGAGATTGCTCAAGATTGAGATAAGTAATTACATTAGAGTCAATTTACTTCTATTCAATGTTTAATTCAAAGCATTTCCAAAATTATAGCAATCAAGCAGCAAAATTACCTTCCAAAACATATAGAAGTTGCTTATTACAATTATCTCATTTATGAAATAATGGTAACAGTATACAGGGTTGTTGCATAGATTAAAATTAATAGACAAAAGCCATTAGAATAGTGCCTGGCTCAGTTAGCACTGAATATATTAGCTAACATTTTACTAAAAATAAAAATGATCAAATATCCCAATCCAATGTAGACTATTTAGAGCCATGGTTGAAGGGTTAACTGTTTGGAAACAGTAGCTGAGATAATACATACGAAGAGCTACTTGAAAAGGTAAAAGCAGTTAAGAAAAGAATTATATTACTTCTGAACTCTGATATCTCATACAAGACAGCTAACTGAAGGCAGCTGTAACATCTTTTGACTCTGCGAATTTTGATTATTTTGAAAAACCATTATTCACATTTGTCATTATCTTTCAACAAAACAGTGAGTTATATCATTTCCACCAATCACAAACATTTCTCTTTACTTCAATAGGGCTCATCTGTTATTTTTGAGTCAAAAATACAGGGTTAAGTAACTAAAAGAGTGTAATTGGATTGTTTGTAACAGAAAGGATAAATGCCTGAGGGGATACTCCATTTTACATGTGATTATTACACACTGCATGTCTGTATCAAAACATCTCGTGTACCACATAAATATATACACCTACAATGTACCCACAAGATTTTTAATTAAAAAAAAAAAATCATAGTGAGGCAGGACGGTGGCTCACAACTGTAATCCCAGCACTTTGGGAGGCTGAGGTGGGCGGATCACGAGGTCAGGAGTTGAAGGCCAGCCTGACCAATATGGTGAAACCCCATCTCTACTAAAAATACAAAAATTAGCCGGGCATGGTGGCACGCGCCTGTAGTCCCAGCTACTCGGGAGGCTGAGGCGGAGAATCGCTTGCACCCAGGAGGCAGAGGTTGCAGTGAGCCAAGATCACGCCACTGCACTCCAGGCTGGGGGACAGAGCGAGACTCCATCTCAAAAAAAAAAAAAAAAAAAAAAAAAAAATCACAGTTAAGTCTTGGTTTAGTCTACCACCAGACAATCCTAATAGGTTAATAAGTGGATAGCAAACATCTCACTGCGACAAATACATCTTTATCAAGCCAAAACTGAATTGCAGTCAGCAAACATGAAGACATTAAAGCTATTTTCAAACAAATTTGAGTCACAGGTCATCAAGAAAAACTGCTCTCTTGGATTACCCACTACAGATTTTAACTAAAGGTCGAAATTAGCCCACTATCTCAGAGGGGCTAATACTGCAGCGGCAGGCGGTCTGTGATCGTGAATGTGAATGATAAACGGAGTCAACACATAAAGTTACTCCCCTAGACATTCCACTTTAGCCTCTCTCCCAAAGCAAGATTTGACGACAGCTGAAAATTGTGAAGTCGAGTTTTCTGGTGTTTGTCTTTAATTTCTCGTCTTCTAAGATTTGAGAAGCAGGTAGTTAACAAACGGAGAGAAAAAGACCAGAGCCAGAGAAAGAAATGAGGGGCCGAGGTAAGCCAAAGCCTGCAAGCACCCACAAGACGAGCGGAAGTCGGGGACCTGTAACAATGCTGTCCCAACGATCAGCTGTGAGAGATCCCATCCCTGGAAGGCTACTCAGCCCGACCCCGCTGCACTCAGTCTTCCCAGAGGATGACAGGGGAATCCCAAAACAGGAAAAGCGGACTTAAACAGGAGCACGATAAAAACTGAACCACAACTTTGAAAAATACCTCACAGACTTCGACTCCAGACTCCCGGAAAGCTGTCGGGCAACGATGACGTCAATGACGCGCCGTCTCTGCCCGTGGCGCAAGCGGCGCTTTCCGATGATCTCACGCTGCTCGCCACGCCCTCAGCTCCGCCTCCCTTTTCTCTATAGGCAGTCTTCTCTTTAGTGCCTCAGACCCAAGTTGTGGGAGAAGTTTGACTCTGGGAACCTTGTCTACATTTGTACCCGGCCAACACCCACCCCAAATACAGGTTGAGTGTATTTAACCAGGAAAAAAATGTTAGTTACTGAAATTTGTTTCGAGTTTTTACTTTCGCGGAAGCTTTTTCCAGGGCCCTCGTTCTTGCTATGCTTTTATTGTCTGCCTGAAGATAGCCTCCTAGAGCAGCTTCCCAGATTATCCGTGGGAAAGGACAGGTTATTTATTTTCCAATCTGTCAGTAAAAGATAATTCTATAAAATACAGTAAAAATGAATTAGTAGAAAAATATATGCAAAATACAAGCCCAAATTTTTCATTATTAGTTTCAATAAATGTAAAATTGCATTTCAATATATGCAATCAGAACAAACATAATAGAAAATAAAAGCATTACAGAAACTGTACTTATTGTTCATTGAAAGTGTAGTATAAGCGATTAAGCATTGTCTTACATCTGTAGCTTGTCATTCCGCGGTCGTAATTTGATAAAAAGTTATGCATAAAACAGTTGTCCATATGTTAAAGGCATGTGAAAGCACTTTGAATAAGCACCATGTATATAATATTTAAAGTTTTTAAAGTGGCAAATAATCGTCTCTATTGTTGTATTGTTAAATTAAAGACAGTGCTTCTTGCAGAGCTTGCGGAGGATAGCACATATTTTCAATGTCTCCTGTTTTAACACTGTAGTAGGTACCAGCCTCCCATCACTACATGGATAGGAATTAAAAGAGAACATTTTCATATAAGACTTCTTCTGGCCTTGTTTGTTGACCTTGTGGACCTGGGATGAAAAAAGTACCACAGGTTACAGCCTGTGTACTCAAAATATTACACTGCAGAATATTTTCCATGGCCACTCTCCATAATCCTCCCCCAGTTTTAAAAAGAAAAGCACAGGCCACACTAATGTTAAGAATTCCAATATCAAATTGTTTCTATATAACATGAATTAAAAGGTAACTCTGAATTGGTCCACGTGACCCTGTTGGAAGCATGTACTCGTTAATTAGTTTCATTTATTAATTGTGACCCAAAAGTGGCTGAATCACTCTCCCCCATCCTTCTCTGGTTCGGTATTAAGAGTAAATAGGTCGGTCACATGTGGTGGCTCATGCATGTAATCCCAGCACTTTGGGAGGCCTAGGTGGGCAGATCATGAGGTCAAGAGCTCAAGACCATCCTGGCCAACATAGTAAAACCCCACAGGCTGTAACCTGTGGTACTTTTTTCATCCCAGGTTCTCAAGGTCAAAGACTTCATATTATAGAGTTCCACTGACTATACAGAAATCAAACTCACTTATTTTTTCATCCATAGAGCCTCATAACATGTTGTTTTACATATTTTAAGAAGGCCCTTCTAACAATTAACAATTTTTGTAGTTGTCCAAGAAGAGCTATTATGATGGAAACCAATTAAAGTTACTTTTTTATAAATGGGAAGCAAAACCGGGCACAGTGGCTCCCACCTGTAATCCTAGCATTTTGGGAGGCCGAGGCAGGCAGATCACTTGAGGTCGGGAGTTCAAGACCAGCCTGACCAACATGGAGAAACACTGTCTCTACCAAAAATACAAAATTAGCCAGGTGTGGTGGCACATGCCTGTAATCCCAGCTGCTTGGGAAGCTGAGGCAGAAGAATCCCTTGAACCTGGGGAGTGGAGGTTGCAGTGAGCCAAGATCACCCCATTGTCCTCCAGCCTGGGCAACAAGAGCAAAACTCTATCAAAGAAAGAAGAGAGGGAGGGAGAGAGGGAGGAAGGGAAGGAAGGAAGGAAGGGAGGGAGGGAGGGAGATAGGGAGGGAAGGAAGGAGGGAGAGGGAAGCAAAATTTGATAGTAGCTTGTATAAGAAATGATCTGATTTGTACTCCAATTTGAAAATTGAAATTTAAAATGTGACTAAAAATTTATTATTATTTAACAAAATTCTGGTTACAAATGCAACTCACTAACTCTTAAAATAAATAAAGACTGAATCAAATGTTGATTGGGACTTTTGTTATATAAAATTTTTATGACAAAATTGTTAGGTGCTAACTACAATGCCATGTCCTGGATTCAATCCTGGAAGAGAAAAAGGGCATTCATGGAGAAAAATCAGTGAAATCTGAATAAAATCGTGAGTGTAATTAAGAGTAATATACCAATATAAGTTTCTCAGTTTTGACAAATATACCATGGTAATTTAAGATGTTAACATTAGAGAAAACTAGGCGAGGGATAGGCAGGAGCTCTGTATTATCTTTGCACTATAAATCTAAAATTATTCCAAAATAAAATTTATTAAAAATTGTTAGATGACCTGATGTGATATTTTTCATTTAGTTTAGCAGCATAGCCGTAAAGAGATTCATCTTTGCAAAAATTTGTGTAGGCTGTACCAATTTCCCAAGAGCCTCGCTTAATCCCTTGAAACACAAATCTTCCTTTCTTGAAGCTCATAATCATTGTCATAATCCTTGTAGATTTTCTCTTTTTTGAGACAAAGTCTCGCTCTGTCACCAGGCTGGAGTGCAGTGGCACATTCTCAGGTCACTGCAACCTCTGCCTCCCAGTTCAAGTGATTCCCCTGCCTCAGCCTCCCAAGTAGCTGGGGCTACAGGTGCACACCACCATTCCCAGCTAATTTTTGTATTTTTACTACAGATGGGGTTTCACCATATTAGCCAGGATGGTCTCTATGTCTTGACCTCATGATCCACCCACCTCAGCCTCCCAAAGTGCTGGGATTACAGGCGTGAGCCACCTCGCCAGGCTCTAGATTTTCTCTTTTTTAACAGTAACTGCTCTTGAGTCTGCCATATCCTCATTGTCTATGATTTTCCATTTTATCAATCACTTTCCTCAATTAAATGAAGTCTAACATTTTTTGCAATATTTGTGATTGCAGTTGGTAGTCAATATGTGCTCCCCACCCCTTCTCATAGCACTTGGAAGGAAAAAGCCTGTTGAAAGGTGATAAGACTCTTGAGTGCAGAGTGGAGAGAATTTGGAGGGGAGACTAATTTTCTAAGTGGTCAGGTTTTTTTTAACAAAATGGCCTATATAACCTCATAACTATAGGAATGCAGATAATATTTGGAAGGCAGGGAACTTTATGTTTCTACTTACATAAAGAATTGAAGAAATAAAGCAGCTAATGAGAATTGGCAGCCAATTAAAAAAGAAAAAAAAGACTCAAGAAAGATGCAAACAAGAGGCACAAACTATGTACAGAGATTTTCTTCCTCCTGTGGAGCACTGTGTCATAAGAAAGACTCCCAGAAGCAGATGGCAAAAATGAACAACTTCCAATCTTCCCATAGCTATGGTTCCATAGAAGGTAAGGATGTGCATAGACTCACACTCAAACCTGTGGGAAGTCCAACACAGGCCTACACCCAGTTATAATGTGATCATCCTGATACAATTATGTTGGTTTTTCAGGCTGTTGCAAAAGGGAAGAACACAAAATCCCAGGCTAAAGTGCTGGAATTACAGGCATGAACCATTATGCTTGGCCCTGAAAATCTTTAAGTGGAGATATTCATAGTAATGTGTACAGTGTACTGTGCTATGATGTAGTCTATGCTATGATCTTTACTAACTGGAAAACAAATAGCTATTCACGAAGAGGGCCCCATTCTTTGGTAGGTCTTCTATAAAGCCCCTATCCCTAAGGTAAAATATTTGCATCTGGATACAAGAAATAATGGTTTGGAAAATCTAAATTACCAAAATTGGCTTAATTTCATTGACAACATAGTTAATTCTCTGCACTCAGAAAAAAAGGTATTTGATGTAAAAGAAAAGTAGGTGTTCTATGGTTTTATTTGCTTATTTTGCTTTGTTTTATAAGGTTGGTAGTGGAAACTTATTTTTATTAGCAACCATCATTGATGAGTGTTGAGAAAAAATGAGGGAGAAACTCTGTTTATGTCTTATGTCAATAGCATGTTTTATTTCCTTCATGTCAGGTAATAAATGATAACTCACTACCTTATTAGTATTGGGTTCACTTCATTCTTCAAGTACCTATTAGCCCTACAGGCAAAAGTCTTGAAAGGACCAAGTCACACTGAATCTCTCCCATAGTGGCCAACATGCAACTGCCCTGGGGGACCTTCCCCAGGTTGATTTCTCTATTACTCACTTTCACTCTCACTTTCTTCAGTGTCCTTGGCCAGAGCTGCAGTCATCTAATAGCAATGCAAAGGAGGTGGCATAAAACAATAATGTACAGATAAATGCAGCAGGGAATCCAATCTGAGTCCAGATCTGGCACTTCTTTTGTAAACTTCTCAACTAGATTTTGAAGTTCTTAAGGACAGTGACCTCTTTTCTGCCTCTCTTGTGTCTTTTTCTGTGCCTGGAATGTTTCTATAATTCTATCTAATTTAGACTGGTTATGATTGATCAGATTCATCTTTTTGGCTATTATACAAAAAGAGTCTAGAAAATGTATATAAACTAGTTAGTACAAAGAATTCTGACATTTTTTCAGCATGAACAAAAATAGAGTAGAAATGTTGTTGTAACACAATTGTTGGCCAGAAGAAATATATCTGTATTTTGAAGGAAAAAGAATATGTTCTGTTCAATCAGTACAATCAAATGTAATGTGTAGAGAAACTCAGAAAAAAATAAGTTAAATAAGGTAATGACATCTGAGTGATTCTTTAAAATTCTATTTCTCAAATATTCTGTGAAAAATTTATATTATGTTAAATGTAAGAAATACAAAGGAAGAATCATGGCAGACACAATTTTGTTGATTAAAAATGTTTCTGTTCTTTCATTAGAAAATTTTAGAATGAATAAATATTTCATTTAAAAATAGGTAGAAGGAGGCCAGGTGTGGTGGCTCACGCCTATAATCCCATCACTTTGGGAGGCTGAGGTAGGCGG